ATTAATAGGCTGGGAAAACCGGGTGTAGAAGCAGAAAACCAGGTGTGAAAAACCGGGTGTGGATAGCAAAAAAGGGGGGTACATTTATTAATCCCCTTGATGATAACACTGATGATATTAATATTTGTGGGTTACACGTGACTGAAATGCAAGAAGAATTTTGGGATGAAATTAGAATTAGCTATGACCAAAATAAAAATTGCTCCACAATAAAAAATATATTACAAAGTAATTTCAAAAATAATGATCTGATAAATTCCTTAGAAGAACCATGGCTTAGCTCATTCAAAGAAAATAGATTCTCTCTATTAGATGGATTAATTTACCACAGAATTAAACATACAAGTGTAGTAGTTATTTGTTTAAAAGAACACATTAATTTGTTTTTGAAAGAATGTCACGACAATATATCCTCAGCTCATTTTTCCTTTGACAGAACAATTGAGAGAGTTAAACAAATTGCTTGGTGGCCTAATTTTAGAAATGATACCAAAGATTATTGTGAATCTTGTGATAGATGCCAAAAAGCAAATAAAGCTACAGGAAAAAGGTATGGATTATTGCAAGAAATTGAAGAACCCAAAGAAAGATGGTCTGTTATTAATATGGATTTTGTTACTGGCTTACCACCCGGAGGACCTAGTAATTTTAATGCAATTTTAGTAGTAGTTGATAGATTTTCCAAAAGAGCCAGATTTCTACCGTGTCATAAAGAAGATACAGCAATGGATACTGCCTTATTATTTTGGAATTCTATTATTTATGATGTTGGTTGTCCCAGATATATCATTACAGATAGAGACCCTAAATTTACGTCAGAATTTTGGAGAAATTTATATGATTTATGTGGGACACAACTAAAATTTTCCACAGCTTATCACCCTCAAACAGATGGACTAGCTGAAAGAATGATTCAAACTTTGGAAGATATGATCAGAAGATATTGTGCCTATGGTATGACATTTAAGGATAAAGACAACTATACTCATGATTGGTGTTCATTATTACCTGCACTTGAATATGCTTACAATTCTAGCAAACACAGTACAACAAATAAAACACCTTATGAATTAGAAAGAGGTTGGACTCCTTGGTTTCCCAAAGAAATTTTAATGTCAAAAGCAGTACATATACACCCAAGTGCCTCTGATTTCCACTTTATGATGACCAAAGCTGAAAAATATGCAGCAGAATGCGTGAAATTAGCTGTAGACTACAACAAAACTAGATGGGATAAAACTCACAAAGCTCACCAGTTTAAAGTTGGAGACCAAGTCTTGATATCTACATTTAATTTTACAAACCTGACTGGACCTAAAAAATTAAGAGATTCTTTTGTAGGACCTTTTACAATCAAAAAATTACACGGTGCAAATGCTGTTGAAGTTATACTCACTGGAGAATTAGAAAGAAAACACCCTACATTTCCAGTCAGTCTAATTAAACCATACAAAACTAGTGATAATGATAAATTTCCTTTAAGAAAAGATAACATCAGAGTTGTAATACCTCCATTAGAGAAAGAAGAAATTAAAATTAAAAAGATATTACAACATAGAAAAATCAGAAAAAACAATGAGGACATTAAACAATATTTAGTAAGATACAGTGGTACCAAAGAAGATGAATGGCTTACAGTTGATAAAATACCTGATGCTGATAAAATTCTCAGACAATACAGAGCTGATAAAAGAAAATAACATTAATTTATTTCTTGGATCAGCCTTTTTTAGAGGGAGGAAGTGTCAGCCACAGAGTACATGTCACAGTACCTTTCATGTACCAAGTAACTGCAACACCTGTACTTATGTACATAAGTACTTATCCATAATGTTGACTACCTTTACCTCTTGTTATCTTATTATTATCATTAACTTATCTTATCTTATTTACCTTACATTTATCTTATCTGTTAATTACTTATCTATCAAATACATACCTGTGTTCTACATAAGTAATTATCACTTACCTTTCACTCCTTTGTCCGTGAAATACCTGTACCACAAGTTATCCCTCTGCTACAGTATTTTCACGGTCAAATATTATTACAAATAAATATGTACATGTATTAAATAGTAAGTATTAAGTGTCAATAGAATTAATACATTCAATACATGCACTGATCACAATTATGACTACATTATTAGAGGATCTGTTAAGCACACATCTAGAGCAACTAGTACATTGATCAACTAGTACACAATTATGATGTCACTTACAGATCATGACAAATAATGATCAGTCACTCAATTGATGTGCTCATTCTCCTGGCCAAAGCTCCCTTGATTCTGAGCGCTCACTCTTTCCCCCCTTCAGTATTCTGGAACTTATAATCCGTGCCTCTTTCACTGATTAATCCCCAGAATATTCAGACACCAGTTAAACCAGTTAACATTTATATTGATACAGTACACGTAACCAACATAAATCTTGTCTACATTTATTGTTCTTAAGCTTCAGTACTCTTACTCAACTTATCCACAGTATTCATAGCCTTGCTGAATATTCCCATCAACAATACCTGTTAATCTTCAACTAATTTTGTTAAAGCTTAATAAGTATTGTTAGCCCATTCCCTTTTGGGAATAACCAAATCAATCCCAGGTGAGTCTTAGTACCCTGGATGCCTATTAATACCTTGTATTGATCCGGATGCGCTGTTGATAGCAAGCCTCTCAGTAAAGACCATACTGATAGAGTGAAACCTCCTCTTTACAGGACTGGTATTAATCACCCACTACCTAACACTCACCACACTCAAAAACTTCAGTCAACTCATAGTAACAACCTTTTTACTATTAAATACTCAGGTTAGTTACCCAGAGGCTGACACTCCTTGGCTATAGTGTGACCCAAAAATCTATCAACTCCTGGTCACATAAGATACCAGAGCTGACAATCAGCCACCTGTGTCACTCCAATTCTTCCATTCCAAATGGGGGAAAAATGTTCACATCATCCATTTGGAATGGAAAAATGAGTGGAGCTGGATGCGCCCAGCACCCGCAAGCTCTCCTAGCTCCTTTTTCCAGCTCAGCAAGCTACTGTGAGTTTAGAATTGAAATGGATCCCTGCAGCCCAGACATTGTGGTCTGTTGGGATAAGTGCACCCCTACAACCTCAGCAAAGATGAGGAGAGTTGTCATCAAGTAGGCAACTTTCACAGGTGCTAGTGAGTTGCTAGTGGGTTTCTGAATCTAACAACCCAATGAACAATTTTTCCTCCCAAGGTAAAGTAGAAAATCGTTTACCACCTCAGGTGGATAGTAAGTTTTTGGTTTGTTTTTCTAAAAACGTAATAGCAACCCAGTTTACCTCCCTGGGTGGAGATTCTCTCATAGATTTTAATTCTCCCAAAGCAAGACTTCTTTTGCTGATTCCTATGTTTTATAATGTGAATGGGGCTTTGTGTAGACATGAAGGAAGAATTCACTAGTTGTTGCTTCACTCTTTCCTCACTAAAATCTACACAAGCTTCACCTTGCCAACATGTTTGTGAAAATTCCACATTGGATCATTTCTTCAGTCCCTGTCAGTTCACCCAACAGTTCTTTCCTCCAAGATTGCTTGGAGAGTATTTGTCATAATAAGCCCCCTGGGGCTGAAACCGCAACCAAGTGTTGCAGAAGCCAAACAGACTCCAAAACAACACAAAGTAAGCCCAGACGTGTAGCACTCAGAAGATACAAGACATGCAACTTATGTCAGCCTCTTTGTTTTGGATCCTAGTGATGAAACCAGCAGCCACAGTCCTTGGGGAAGAAGCCACACCAAACCTGCCACCAAGGATGTGACCAAGAACAATGGTGATGAGAAGAGACGCACAGCAACACCGTGAGTATCTAAGCAGCCCATTTCCTCATCCAAACCAAGACCCCAGAACTAATCATCACACATTGTTCACAGATCATGTCAGCCTGGGTGATGCCAAGAGCTTGACTCTTCTAGCTACACCAGGTGCAAAGCTAAGAAAAAAGGTGTACAAGTGTGGGTAACACTTGGAATGGGGAGGTGTTTGATATTAAGAAAAGAAATAATAAAAACTGTTAAGTTTTTATAAAGGGAGGGGCCTGAGTTACAGGGGTTTTTATGGTGCCCTCCAATGAATCAGGACCTGTTAAACAGGGGTATTTTTGATGTACCTGATGATCTGGTCCTTTGCGTAAAGGAGTATGCCCAGACAAAATGCCTACAACTGAAGTATCAAGGAAATATTACCTACTTAGTACTATTTCCAAGCCAAGGGGACTTCAGGTGGGTGAAAACTGGTCTGTGAGCGCTCAGAAAACTGGGTAACAGGTGTTGGAAGAGTTCTGGGGAACAGTTGATGGTTGGTTGGTTGAAATTCAGGATGAAAAACAGCAGGAACTGGGCCAAATACAGGTGAAAACTGGTTGTTGGAGGTGGTTATTGCTGGTAAGTGATGATGAAGATGGGGAATCAGAGTTTGGGGGCAAGAAGGGCTCCTTATATACTCATTCTGGGCCTCTGGAGGCGAACTCAGAACTCTGTTTGGCTGGTGCAAGCCTCCTACTAGGCATTGGTGACCTGTAGCACTGCCTAGACACCTGTAGTCCTTGGTTACAGGTGGCAGAGGGCTGAAGTGAGGCTTGTAACACACACTAGGGGGCTCTGTGACGAACCTTCAGCCATGGTTTGTTCACTGAGACCCTTTAATGACCAGTGGGCTGGTCTTAACCAGGCGTAGTTAGCCAAATTGGGCCAAAAAGGGCCACAAATGGCTTTTGACCAGCCAGTTACAGTTGTTGTGACAATGTAGTTAAGGTTTCAATGATGTCAACCTTATTTGTGGATTTTTCCCGAACTGCATGAACCTTAATTGCATGTGTAGACCTGTCACAACATGTAGTATGATGTAACTGGGAGGGTTTCTAGCAAAATGAACAAGTGTCACTCAGAGTACACAGAAGTACCTGAAGGAGTAATAATTAAGGGGTACCTTTGGTGAGGTACCCTAATTTGTTGTGCGTTGAAATTAAGAATCTGAAATAATATTATAACTTTTGCTTAAGGTTTAGAAGTTATTTGTAGATTCATGTTAAAAATGTTTATTTATAAGTGTTTTTGGTTTATTTTTATGTTTTCTTTCATGACTAGTAAAACTTAATGTAATGAGTAATAATGTCTCTATTATAGTGATTCCACTTATTTAAATATTAATGTTTTTATATGTACATATGTAATAATGTCTCTATATTATGTACATATAAAATAGACATTAATTACATATGCTATGGGGGTAGTATATGTAATAATGTCTCTAAATATTTATTATGCTATGGTCAGGTTGTCTCTGAATAGTAGCAGGCTGACAGATCAGTCACACACAGAATTAGTCAATCCATTGGACCAGAATTACTCGCTAGAATTAATCAAGAACACCACGAGTAAGTCCGCAACTACAAGTGCTAGAACCAGATTAAGGATCATGGCTGATCCATTGTATGTTCGAGCAGACCACAGTCCGAACTAGAAACAAATGAAAGCCATCCGTAGGAACCAGGAAAGGACAGCCTATAGCATCAGACTGAGTAAATGATTTGTTTCCTTTCACAAGGAACAAGACTCATCAATGCTAACCAGATACTTGATTGAATTCACTAGAACATCTTCATCTCTCTTCCTATCTCCTACTCAGCCACAAGCCTCTCTTCAATCTCTTTCTCTCTTGCTACTCAAAGCACCCATCTGTTCTCGGCATAACCAAAACAGCAGACCAGCATAAGCCAAGAAGCACAAACAATCAGTTCTGCTCTTAGATAATTTTTTCTTTTGCTTTCATTTCTTCTTTTTGTTAAACAAAAATTCAAAAAACAAATCTTGTGAATCTTGTCATTGCCCATTATAAGACCATATGTCTAATCAAAATGAATACTCTTAGTTGTCTGAAATTTTGCAGTATTCAGGTAGGTGAGAAAAATGTTCTTGATAAAAACTCACCCATAACAACAAAATAGTGTAAGGATTGCCTTTCTATCCTTCACTGTTTGTAGGACAGGCACTAGCAAAGGAGCTCAATAGCTCCTGAGAGGAATTTTCTAGCACCAAGGTAGGTTTTATTGTGAGAGAAAGATCTCTCATTAGTATATACAAGGGAAGGAAACTGATAAAAGGGAATGAGAAAAGAAGGAAGGAAGATAAAGCTAGAAAGGAGAGAAAGATCTATGTTGTCTAGGTTAAGGGAAAGGGCAAGACTAAGCACTTGTGTGCCCAGGTAATCTGGGCTAAGAGACAGTGTGAGACCCATAAGATAAGCAAGATTAACTAAGGCCCCATTTGGAAGCGTCATAAATTTAAGTGTAATATTGCCTTATTAATTCAATAAAAAATAAACCACTCAATAATATATAACAAAATTTTTACTGAGGCAAGGTCAACTACTGATTTCAAGGTTAGTATGAAAAAAGTTGAAGTAATGGACTACCTTCAGCACCATAATACCAATATTACACTTTTTACCCATATACAGTGTAATATTGATATTATGGAGCTCAAGATGGCCCAAGATATCAATTTTATTTACAACATTAATGAAACCAGTAGTTGAACTTTCCCAAGTAACAATTTTAGGGTCTTAGTTAATCGACTCCCAAAAATTGGAGGATCGACTCCCAAACGTCGGGGACGTCCTGAGGACCGTCTGCGGACCGTCCTGGGACGTCCAAATCCCCTATTTTTTTTTCCCCCGAAAGTTTGGGAGTCGATGCTCCAAAACCGTCGGTTTTTTTGGGAGTCGACAATCTAATAAAAATATTAAAAATAATAAAAAAATTCGGGGGTTTGGGAGTCGAACCTCCAAACCCCCCCGGTTGTTTGGGAGTCGGAGGTCTAATTTCGACTCCCAACCCAGGAACCGCTGCGCAGTCGTATGGGAGTCGGCGCTCCCAAAACGACTGCGCATGGGAGTCGGCACTCCCTACCCAAACCTTAACCCAAGCGATATTGACTTCCGTGTCCCACAAGTCGATATCGCTATCGATCGCTCCTCCCGACCTCCTCGCTGAAGAACGACACAAGCGACTTACTCACTCATCGCAATCGAATCGACTCTCACTCCCAGGATCAAGCAAGTCCCCAGGAAACCAGACCACTATAACACAACCACCCAGCCACCACACTCACCCCAGACCTCCATCAAACTCACCAACCATACCACTACATACCACCCACCCACCCTCATCATCCAACACCTCAACCACCCCATAGCAGCCTCCATCATGACCTCCAGCCACCCTGCCAACCACATCACCTCCCCAGCCCATCCAGAAGCCCCTCAAAACCAATCCAACAGTCCCCATCAACTTCAGAGCCCCTAGACCCCACCCTAGCCCCTCAAGATCAAGCCCCAGCCTCTGAACCCCATGGAGTCCTAGCCACCTCTGAGGCAGCTCTAGCTCAGTCCCCTAGCCACCTCTGAAGCAGCACTAGCCCCAGGCAACCAGAAGTTCAGACCCCCCACCCCCCCAAGAGGCCCTAACCCTGGTTGAAGGAGTCCCAAGCCCAGCCCCTGACCCCCATGAACTAACCCTGATTGAAGGAGGCCCAGGTATGATTTCAAGCTTTTCTACTCTGCTTATATTTTTTCTGTTTATCTTTTTTTCATGCAATTGACTCACTCATGCTTTCATTTTGTCTATTCACATCCAGCCCCCAAAGACACCCAAATTATGCGTGATGGAGTCCAAGCCGCCACCGTGGACACCGTGGATGATTCTCATTCTCTGTGTACGTTTTCATGCTTTTTGACTCTGTTGATCTTTTGTCTGTTGATTTTTTTTCATGCAATTTTCTGACTCATGCTTAACTTTTGTCTATTCACATCCAGCCCCCAAAGACATCGGCTGCGATCGATGAACCCAGCCCAGCAGGCTATCCAACTTGCGGCGATCAACCAGATCATTGATGGATCTGGCACTGTTGTCGACATCATGATGCCCACTGAGCCGCAAAAGACCCGAGGACGACCTAAAGGGGCGCCAAACAAACCACGGACAACTAAAAGAGACCCATCAGCCTTTGAACATGTCGAGAAAAAGCGGAAGGCCGAGGAAACACAAGCAACGGCGGCAAAGAAAAAGAAGTTCAAAGACCTCCGAGCCGCAGAGAAGGCCATGCAAAAAGCCGAACAGAAGGCCGACAACAAAGAAGAAGTGAAGAAAGCTGCCACTGCGCCAAAGAAGAGGGTCCTCCCAGCCCGAAGCACACGAGCAAAAGCTGCCGTGAAAGAAGTTGATTTGGCGAATGCAGAAGATATTCAGCAGGAGAAGGACGCACCAGCACCAAAGGAGGATTTGTCCAAGGAGAACGCCGAGCCTGCCCCCAAGAAAAAGATCCGATCGATCAAAACAGCCAGCCTCAAACCGCAACCACCACAACCCAAACCGCCTCAAGATGATGAGCCTGAAGAGCAGAACGGCCGAGTTGAACAACTCCCAGAAATCATCAAAAGCTCAGTCCAAAGAATCCTAAGCCCTGCGTCCGATGGACACTGCGGATACCGCGCGATTTCTTGGTGTTTGGGTCGTGGTCAGGGCGAATACATGCGGGTCCGCCAGGAAATGATTGACGAAATCCAGAACCGGCGTAATTGGTATATCCAACAGGGTAGCTTCCACCGGATCGATGAGGTAATGAGACAACTCACGGTCACCTCTTCAGCTCCATGCAGTGAGGACAAATGGATGTCTATGCCATGCATGGGTGACGTCATGGCCAATGCATTCCAGAGACCTGTTTTCTTTTTCTCCCTGATTTGGTCTCAAACTCACTTCCCTTATATCTGTCCCCCAAACAACAATCCCCCTGTTGAAACTAAGACCGATTAACTGGGAGAAGTTTTTGGATGAATTTTTGGGCAACAAAAAATATTTTTGTTGGAACAGTTCAAGTGGCGAAAAATGAAGGTGAGAACTGATGATTTTAATTTCTTGTACTAGGCTAGATTAAATAGACTAGATACAAGAGTTCAAGTTGTGGTTGTTGAGAAATTGAATAAAGAAACAATAATGAATAAAAAACAGACTGAGAGGAAATTAAATTCAGTGTTGATGAATCATGAGAGAGACATTATTTATTTTATGATAACTCTACTTGACAAACAACAAAAGAAAACAAGAGCCACATTTCTGATGAAGATGTTAGTTTCATCAGATCAATCTCAACACCAGAACTTTAAGAATAATCAGAAGATAAGCATGGAGAAGAAAGAAAATTAACAACTAGGGATTCAGGGTTCATTGACTACAAGAATTTGATGTTTAACTTCATGACTTGCTACTTGTCAGACTATAGAATTATTAGTAGTTGAGGGTTTTAATTTAAGAAAGAGATATAAAAGAATGGAGAAGTGAAGGAGATGAAGAAGGGAAGAGTCGAAATTCCAACACCCCCCGCTACTCATGCCTTCTGAATCGAGAGAACAACTGATCGCTCTTGCTGGGGACAAGTTTCTTTCATCGCTGAGAGGGAACGGCAAAGATTGATCGTTCGTCAGAATCGGACTTCTTGAGGACAATGCTCGTCGATGGGACGGAGTTCACCAGATGCATGGATGTAGTGGGTGTAGTGAGAGCTGTGAGGGGACTTCGGAGACTTTTCAGGGTACTTAACCCAGCAGTTAGTTGGTCGATGACCGGTTTTCTTGCAGTGAACGCAAACGGGCGAAACGGACGGAGTCGGTTCGTTTGGCTGAGAGGTGGACTGATCCCGAGTAAGTAACGTCATTGGACGATCGATCGTTGATTCTTTCTTTGTTTCTTTCTTGATCTTGTTGGTGACAGAGTAGGATTCGAGACGTTTGACGATTGCTTCAAACGATTCGGTTGAGAATCCCATCGCAACAATGTCGCGGAATGATCGGAAGTCTTCTCGAGGGAGTTTTCGCAACATAATCATCATTTTGACTTGATCATCTAGCATGATGCCAGCGAGTAAGAGTTTTTGATTGGCTAATCTTATTGAGTTGCAGAAGGAGGAGACATCTTCGAATTCAAGGTCGAGAAATAAATCGAGAGCGACTGATCGAGCAGCAAGATCGGAGCCAGCATACTTTCTTCTTAACAAGGACCATAGAGCTTTGCCGTCAAAGTGATCGCTAGGCGGCAAGGTGGTACTGACGAGGGCTAGATTTTCCGAGTCGAGGTTTTGAATGATCATCGAGTACGCTTTTATGTTGAGTTTATCGATCTGAGCTAACTCATCAGCCGAGGTCTTTTCATTGGTTTTGAGTACGCCGGTTACATAAGTGCGAATACCAATGTCTTCGAGCTTCGCGGACATGGGGAGAACCCATATCGTATAGTTGGATGAGGTTAATAGGAATCGAGTGGTTTGGGTGACGGTTTCGGAGGCGGAATCAATTTTTGACATGGTTTGGGAGAGATGACAGCGGCTAGTTCGACTGTTAATCGTGTTGAAACTAAGACCGATTAACTGGGAGAAGTTTTTGGATGAATTTTTGGGCAACAAAAAATATTTTTGTTGGAACAGTTCAAGTGGCGAAAAATGAAGGTGAGAACTGATGATTTTAATTTCTTGTACTAGGCTAGATTAAATAGACTAGATACAAGAGTTCAAGTTGTGGTTGTTGAGAAATTGAATAAAGAAACAATAATGAATAAAAAACAGACTGAGAGGAAATTAAATTCAGTGTTGATGAATCATGAGAGAGACATTATTTATTTTATGATAACTCTACTTGACAAACAACAAAAGAAAACAAGAGCCACATTTCTGATGAAGATGTTAGTTTCATCAGATCAATCTCAACACCAGAACTTTAAGAATAATCAGAAGATAAGCATGGAGAAGAAAGAAAATTAACAACTAGGGATTCAGGGTTCATTGACTACAAGAATTTGATGTTTAACTTCATGACTTGCTACTTGTCAGACTATAGAATTATTAGTAGTTGAGGGTTTTAATTTAAGAAAGAGATATAAAAGAATGGAGAAGTGAAGGAGATGAAGAAGGGAAGAGTCGAAATTCCAACACCCCCCATCTTCTTTGCTCTGCTTGGCAACCACTATCTCTGCTTAGAATTAACCAATCCCGCTTTCTTCCCAGCACCCATAGTTATCAAGAATTGGAGGAACGCGGCCACCCCAGAGGCTTTGAGATGGGAGGAGAAATACGCAGAGTGTTTCCAGTTGACCGTTGGAAGGAAACTTTTGGTCGAAAAACCTGGAAATTACTGATCAATTTCTTTCAATTATTCCCCTCCTTTTTTCTGTTCAATCAAATTTTCACTCACCATTTTGCTCTGGTTTGGATATATTAGTCTCCTATTGTTCAAAAATCATCTTGACTCATCTCCTCATAACCATGACCAAAAATTGACCTCCTTTTCTTGTTTCTGTTTAAAACCTCTTAATGTGATTGAATTGCTATTCACTTGAATGATTTGTTATTTTTCCTTGAGTTGCATGTTAAGTAAAATTAAACTTCCTTTTGCACTCATAAGAGGCCTTGTTTAGTAGTTGGATGTGTTCACAACAGCCTCTCAAGGAACACAATCAAAAGCAATAATATTTTGTTCAATATTGTGTTTCATTGATTTCTTGTCAACCACGTGTTGATTACAAGTCATTTTAACCCTTTGCCTATATGGCAAAGGAATTATCTAATTCGGTTATTTTTTATCTTGAAGAATGACTTCCTCATAGCCCCTCATGGGTTAATAAAAGACCAGTCAGCCCTTTTCCCTATTTTTCCCTCATGAGGGGTTTTAATTTCATCACATCTCATCATTTGTGTTTAAGGATCAATTGGTCTCTGTGGGATCTGCTACTAACTAGTCTTTAATTTCATCACATCTCATCATTTGTGTTTAATTTCATCACGTCTCAACCTGTTAATTTCATTGGGTCTCATCCTTGTTGGATCAATTGGTCTCTGTGGGATCTCCTACTAACTAGTCTCCTGTGGGGCTTTTTTCCCTCCCTTGGGTTTTTATTTTCCCCTATTTTGATGGTCATTTTTTTTGCTTTTCCTTTCATTTGTTTTCATAAATCCTGTCCCTTTGATGTCATTTTTTGGCAATTTTTGCCTCCCATTTTTCCCCTTTCCTTTTCATTTGAGTTTTCATTTTCCCCTTTTTTCTTTTCCTTTTTTTTGGCTTTTGCTTTTCTATTTTTTTCATGTTCCTTTGATGTGGATTTTGGCACTTTTTCCCATCCATTTTTTCCCTTTTTTGTCATTTGCTTTGGTCTCTTATGTATTTTTCTTTTTTTCATTTATGTCCTTTTTGGAGCGCCGACTCCCTACTGCGCAGCCTATCCTGGGAGATCGACTCCCTATCAGCCAGGTGGCTGACTGGGGGAACGGTTGGAGTGCCGACTCCCATGCGCAGTCGGTTTTGGAGGGGCGACTCCCAAATGACTGCGCGGCTGTTGTCTTGGGCAGGGTTGGAGTGCCGACTCCCATGCGCAGTCGTTTTGGGAGCGCCGACTCCCATACGACTGCGCAGCGGTTCCTGGGTTGGGAGTCGAAATTAGACCTCCGACTCCCAAACAACCGGGGGGGTTTGGAGGTTTGACTCCCAAACCCCCGAATTTTTTTATTATTTTTAATATTTTTATTAGATTGTCGACTCCCAAAAAAACCGACGGTTTTGGAGCATCGACTCCCAAACTTTCGGGGGAAAAAAAAATAGGGGATTTGGACGTCCCAGGACGGTCCGCAGACGGTCCTCAGGACGTCCCCGACGTTTGGGAGTCGATCCTCCAATTTTTGGGAGTCGATTAACTAAGACCCCAATTTTATTACATGTTCCCCATTGGTTTATTTTTTATTGAATTAATCAATTAATATTACACCTAAATTTATTACACTGCCAAACGGGGCCTAAGCCTCTTGT